CCTCAGGTTGTTGCATGTACACCTCCTCATTAAGATCACCATTCAGAAAAACAGTCTTAACATCCATCTTATGCAATTCCAAGTCAAAATGTGCTACAAGGGCCATAAATATTCTAAAAGAGTATTTAGTGGAAACAGGAGAAAAGGTTTCATTAAAATCAATCCCCTCATTTTGTGTGAAACCTTTAGTCACAAGTCTTGCCTTAAACCTCTCAATTTTACCTTTCGAGTCCTTCTTTGTTTTGAATATCCACTTGCATCCAATCGCCCTACAGTTTATTGGTAACTCCATTAGTTCCCAAACATCATTATTTTCCATGGATTTCATTTCATCATGCATTGCATCTGTCCACATGCTAGATTGAGAACAAGTAATAGCTTCTAGATAGTTTTTAGGATCAATAACAATACCAACATCATAAGCATCCTCACTAAGATAAACTACAAAATCATCAGGGATAACATGTCTCTTTTGTCTTACTGGCCTTCTAACATGAATTTGCTCAATTGGCTCATCAAGTTGTGCAACCTCAGTTATAACAGGAAGATCCACTACATTTTCAACAAGTGGTTCAACCACATCTTCAACTGGATGTTCAACCACATTCGCATTTGGAGCAAAACCTCCATGAGCAGTGGATGATCTAGCATTATCAAAATTAGGTAGTGATAAAGTAACAACATCAGGCATAATAGAATCAATATTATTAGATGCAGTAACAAGCTCAGCAACATCAAGCTCAAGGAATTTTGCATGCATGGACTCCACAATTTTATCACCTCTACCATGACAAAAGAATTTGTATCCTTTATATCGATCCAGATATCCAATAAAAAACAACGACTTGTTTTTGGGTCAAGCTTTGTCTCAAAAGGATTATATATTTTAACCTCTGTAGGACAACCCCAGGCACGAAGATGGTTCAAACTGAGTTTTCTATCTATCCAAACTCAAAAAGTGTTTTTGGAACTGATTTACTAGGAACTCTATTAAGTATATAAAGGGTTGTTTTCAAAGCGTCGCCCCATAAAAATTTTGGTAAATTACACTTACTCATCATGCTTCTCATCATATCCTTGAGGGTGCGGTTTCGCCTTTCTGCTACACCATTTTGTTCGGGAGTACCAGGCATGGTGTATTATGGAACAGTTCCACAATCTTGCAAGTATTTTGCAAAAAGCCCATGTGTTGCCCAGTAGAATCATATCTACCATAATACTTTCCGCCACGGTCAGAACGTACCACCTTTATCACTTTTCCTAGTTGCTTTTCAACCTCAGTTTTAAAGATTTTAAACTTTTCAAGTGCTTCTGATTTTTCCTTAATCAAGTAGAGATAGTCATACTGGGAAAAATCATCAATGAAAGTGATAAAAGATTTATTACCACAAATAGTGGGAGAAAAGGGTTCGCTAATGTCTGTATGAATAATTTTCAAAAGGTATGAACTTCTTGTTGAACCTTTCTTATTGGTTTTGGTAAACTTTCCTCTAATGCAACCCACACAAGTCCCTAAATTATTGAAATCTAAGGAAGGTAAAATATCATCTCTAATTAACCTTTCAACTCTTTCTTTAGAGATATGTCCTAAACGCTTGTGCCACAACAAAGAGGATTTTTCTCTAATTTTAGACCTTTTAGCAATGGAGTTTTTAATATTCAAGGATGAGAAAATTATATCACAATACAAAGATAACTTATATAAACCATCCAACAAGATACCACTACCAACAACTTGAGAATTCAACATCAATTTTATTTTTCCATCATAAAAGGTAAATTGAAATCCAAACTTATCCAAACAAGATACTGAAATCAAATTTCTTCTAGAAGAAGATACATAAAATGTATCTTTCAAAACAAGTTCAAAATCAGTTCCTAAAACTAAGTTAACATCTCCGATTAGCTCCACGATGACTTCAAGATCATTTCCTACCCCAAGTTTGCTTTCCCTTAAGTTTTGTCTCCACTGGTTTTTGAACCCATGTAAGAACGCATCAATATGGGTCGTAGAACCACTGTCAAGCCACCAAGAATTAATGGGAACATCAACTAAGTTAGACTCAAAACAGACAAAAGCTAAATGATTACCTCCAAATTTGTTCTTGTTGTCTAACCAAGCTTTAAAAGAATGACAATCAGTTTTCTTATGCCCATTTTCCTTACACCAAAAGCACCAAAAGGATTTCTTAAAAGCAACAGGCTTGGGACCTCTTATATTATGGTGTTGACCATTACCAGGTTTCCTATCAAGATATCTATGAGAAACACTATGAGTGTTTTTCTTATTTTTCCAAGATTTTTTTTTTACCAGAATGAGGTTTAGCGTGAAAAGTTAGGAAGTCCAAATCACTTCTTTCCTTCTTGAGTTTCTCTTCTTCAGCTACACATTTGGCAACAACAGTAAGATATTATTTAACATTCTCTTTCTGCGACATTCCACTTATCAAACGTTCAAAAATGGTTCTCTTCATAGCACACAAGCTAAGTCGGTCACTCCTCTTCCACTTAGCTAATTTTTCTTTCTCCTCAGGTGTACTCTGATAATTGATCACAGGTTTGGTTTCACGTAGTGCCATGTCAAGATCAACAATCCCTAATAAAAACTCTAAGTCTTCCTTTCATTTATTAAAATTATACTCATTCAGTATCTCAATAGAAGCAGAACAATTATTCATAGAGAAGGTCACTGTTGAGACAAAATAGGAAAATATAAGAACAAATAATAAAGACAAGATATACTTTAATGAACATAAGCTATCACGAAGAGGCCATCATTATCAAACAATCCCCTTTGGGTGGAATGCGCAAAACCCATATTACAATCAAGGTCAAAACCTCATATAAGTTACTCAATGAGCATACAGTGGGTTCGAAAATCTATCTCCTTTGGGTAGATAAATTCTCTAAACCAAAGCACCTCTAATAACTTCATCTACGAATTTTAAGAATAAGCTACTCAGTAAGCATACATTGAGTTTAGAAATTTATCTCCTTTGGGTAAATAAATCCCTTGAACTCAAGCATCTCCAATAGCTATATCCTTAATCAACCATAATTTCTACATACAATTGTCCACCTTTGAGAAGTCAATCATAGTAATGACTTAAAACCATTCATCCAACTACAAAGTGACTTTTATAAATTAAAACGAGTGATCTCATTTTGGTGGTAATCGCACACAATAATTTACAAAATTTTTTGCATAGGAATTAAATTTCTCTTGCTAAAAAAATATCATAAACTAATTATGGATTTAAATAATATAGCATTCTCAATCAATTTTGTCTTCAACAGTATCAATCTCAATATTATAGAGATATTATATAATATTTCAAATATTTGATAGGTCCATCCAATATATCATAAATTCATACAAGCTAATATTAATTTAATAAAAATATCTAAAATAATATTATTTATTCAATATAATTATATGTTTAATTTTTTCAATATATATTAACAAAGGTCTGTTAATATATAAACAACATTCTAATATTTATAAGATATGAATTAGTTAGGTGACTACAATCAAAATCATGACTTTAAACATATGCATTTAATAATTATAGTAATCAATAAATATATATAATCAAATTCACACGGTCCAACAGCGTCTCTGGCTAATAGTAGTTGTGAGCAGAAATTTGAAACATTACTATTATAACCAAATCAATTAGTTATATAAATAAATATATAGTTCAATTGGTAATATATACAATTAATAATGTTAGATTTAAAAATATCAAATTAATATATAACAAGTGAATGTTAGACATAATTAATTTATAGTTTTATATATATCCAGTTGGTTTATATATATTTCGTAGGCACTGTGTACTAACGTGAGAAAAAAAAATCTAAACCACTTCTCCAAATTTCATGGGCAAAGAACAATACAGCATTTAAAATTAAAAACCAATTCAACAAAAAAAATCGACACTAGTCCTATATCTTAGTATTTTAAGAACCAAACATATCATACATTGAATTAGACACAAAAACAGTACACAATTGAATATAATAAAAAGAATTGAAACCGAAGAGAAGCAAACAAATCAGTGAAATCGTAACTCGCAATCATGTTAAATTACAATCATATGTTAACATTAAATAATTAAGTCCTAAATCATATAATCTAAGTTCTGATACCAAAATGTAAACGGAAAAGTTTATCTATCGATCATATAAAATTAGAACATCAATACTTACTTGTTGAAGTCATGATTCGGAATTTTGAAAAGATAAATGACTTGATCTTCCTCTATATCTCAGACAAGTTGTGGAGCCGTCAGTTATGTTTCTGATTCTTATTGTAATTACAGAAGGACCTAGCCATATAATATATATAATCATAGTCCCTACCCATTATTGGCCCAAGGTTAAAACCGACACTTTACTCGCATCAATCAGGTTTTAGATACTCGGTCATTAATTAAAAAATAATCACTTAATTAATAAAAAGACTTATATATGCACCCCATCAAAATCACAATTAATCTGTTTTTCACAAACTAAATTATTACAATTGATTGTAGTCCATAAAAAATTAGATAAATCTAACATCTTTGAGTTGAACCTAAGAAACCATTTCATTCCCTACTTCTCATTCGATTTGTGGAGATTGGGAAAAGAAACGGTAGGCAGCACATAAAACAAAAACAAAAACAATTTATGAACCTAAGAAACCATTTCATTCCCTACTTCTCATTCGATTTGTGGAGATTGGGAAAAGAAACAGTAGGCAGCACATAAAACAAAAACAAAAACAATTTATTTATACCAGTGTATAAAATAATACTCTTCATACAAAGTTATATTTCTTAAGAAAATGTGGAAATCCAATATAAACAACTACAAAGGATAAGAAAAAAGAGTATGTTATATACCTATATACTAATAATCTATCGTGTATATTATGTTGCAAGTCTTGTCCCTACCTATTTGCTTTTGAGTCACACATATCCAACTACATATCAAAATAAAAACTTCTCATTCATTCATTCATGTTGGATATAGTTTTTTTTCAAAATTGCAATCGCACAAAGATTTAAGCAAATTTGTGCAAAAGTATTTGAAGTGGCAGCTCCAACAGAGGCAGAAGAAGGGTTTGTTGGGACAGGCACGTACCCAAAAACATTTGCACCACTAGTGTTTGTTATGTTTAAAACTGATGAACTTGTGCTGCAATTTAAATTAGACACCAAATATTAGATTTCTATAATATAGTTTGTAGAGACTAAAAAGTGGATGAAAAGAGAAAAGAAAAATGAATAATATGGAAACTAAAAACGTATAAAGAATATATGTGGTTAAAGATGGTCACCTAGTGGATGGATATTGACAAGTCCCAACACCTGAAAACACATAAATAAATCAATAAAAGCTTCTAAATAGCCAAAAAAAAATTTAAAAATTATATATATATATATATATATATATATATATATATATATATATATATATATATATATATATATATATATATATGTGTGTGTATTTTTTTTCTTCAATCACCTATCCCAAATGATAAAAGACAATAATATAGGCGAATATGGTCATTTTTAATTTTTAAAAATGGTGTGTAAATTAGTCATTATTTAACTCAAATAAAATAAATAGAATTTAATTAGATGTTGTTTATGTGTGACAAATTTTAAATTATGAGTTGTAGACTTATAATATACTTCTCCGTCTCAAATTATTAGTTGTGCGTATTTTACGGTTTAAAATTTTAATTTATTATTTTATAAAAATGATAAATTATGTAAAATTTTATAATAATATTTTCATAATTATACTAGAAGATAAATTAAAAGAGTTAAAAAAATAAATAATAATAAATATTTGAGAATACATTAGAAAAAATATTACTAATATTATATTAAAAATGTAAAATAATTTATAATTTAAAATTAATTTTTTGACAAATAATTTTTAATTTGGGACAGTGGGAGTATATTTTGTACAGGAGATTCATTCCGGTGCATAAAAATTCTATTCTATTATTTTGTCAAACATTTCTGACTCTCTGGCTAAACAATTACAAAAGTATAATTCAATAAAAAAGACTAAATGAGCTGTAATAAAGAAGAGTACGCATTTGATAAGAACAAGACATATATAAGGCTATGTTTTTAGATACAGCCTCCAATAAAGCAGAAAAAAGCTTGACTTCTCCATCACTCAATGACACTTTTCTAATTTCTATATATCATCATTCATCAAAGCACTTTCAAAGTCTATTCAAAGATACAGTACAGTACAATCTTTATTTTATTCTATCTTGTCTCTGCAGATTGCAACCCAAAGCAAAGAGTCCTCCACAAGGATGCATATGATTTGTTAACCACTTTGATTTATAGCATAGATTAGTACTAGTTTTCTAGCTTTGCATATTTTTATTTGTTTTCTTTTTCTATTTAATGTAGGATAGCTACCAAATTTAAACCAATTAGATATAATTGAGAATCCTAACGCGGACATATTAACGATAAAATAAGATCATCAATCATCAGAAACACAGCATTAATACTACATATAAACATTGGTAATATTTTTAAAAATAATAAATTAAATGTGATTGTAAATATTGATATTGGTTTCAAACACAAATATTGATACAATACATATTTTTTTTAAAGTGTTAGTGCTTTATAACGAATTAGATGATGCATGTCTAAAACTTTGACACACCCAAAAGAAAATACGTAAAATAGACATATCTTTCTGTTAAAATACGTTTTGAGGTCTTCTATACGTTACTTGTATATCTAATTAAATTTAAAGCGTTAATCACAACATTGAGTATGAAATTAGTAGAAACCTTACTTGGATTTGTGTTAGTGATGACAGCAGTTCCACCAAAATTGCAACTATTAGGAACAGGATTCTCTTGATAGTACTTATTGAAAGCAAAAGAAGCATGATCATGAACAGAATTAGGGTTATAACAGCTTCCACCAGCTTGAATCGCAGAACAATCAGCACCACCATATCCACAAGCATAATCCAATGCAATTTGTAAAGCTCTTTGTGAAGAACTTGGACTTGCAATGCACCAACTTGAACCTGAAGAAACTGGTGAATTTGATGTTGATGTTGATGTTGATGGTGAATATGTATCTGGATTTGAATTAGGGTTCAGAATTGTTGGAGATGTTTGAACTACATTTGGAATTGTTGTGATTGGAGTTGTAATATCACTATAAACTTTATTGAAAAGAAAAAAAAAGTGAAATAGGTTAGTTTTGTCTTCTTTCAATGATGAATCTAGTGCTTAAAAGAGAAAAACATTGAATATATGCAAAAGATAACAAAAAATAAAAAGAGAGAGAAAATTACCAGAAGAAAGGAAATGAGTGAGAAGGAAAAATAGTATATAATAGTTTATACTCTTTTCCATCTTTTGTTCAATGAGGTTCCCAAGTTATAGTAGTTTTTGTTTTGAAGAAGCTAGAGAGAAATGAAGATATCATAAACTAGAGATGGTGATTGAGTTGTGTTTGGAAAAAAGGTGTTTTGTGTGCTATGAAAATATATATATTGTGGAGTTTGAGAGAGAAAGATTTGACAAGGTAGAGATTGGAGTGAAGGAGGGTGCAAGAGGAGCAAAAAGGAGGGAAGAGAGTTGAAAACAAAGTAAAAGTAGGAATTGTTTGGAATTTAAATTGAGTGTGTAGGGTTTAGTTAGTGATCATTGTAATGATGGTACTTATGTGTTAATTGCCTTACTTTTTTTCTGCATTCTTTTTTACTATTTTATTAAGGGTGGAAACTTATGTACGATTACCTTGCAAAAAAATTAAAAAAAAAAATAAAGTGAGACGGATATATTTAAAAATGTGAGTTTGGTTTTAATCTGATTTAAAAACAATACGAATAAAATAAATAATTTGGCCATCCGAATATGAACTTCACTTTTATACAACTTGTTATTATTAATCTATTTTTGGTAGTATGAATGTATTATTGACAACTATAAAAACTTACTGAATTATGCTTATTTGAACATGTAAAATTTGGTGGCAAGGGAAAATATTATGATTTCACTAATTAGTATAGTTATTTGGTGTACCATCTTTTTTCAAATTTTGCACTTTAAGTGATTCCATTCCATGTTTGTTGTGAAAAACGGTGGCCATAAGGATGAAGCTCAACTCATGTAATATTTATCAAAGAGCTATGCTACCATGATACCCTTTTCCTACACCATATATATGCATAGTTTTAGCCTTGCACATAAACTAAAATGAAATGAAAAAACTATTAAAAAAATGATATGTATGTATTTAGGGTAGAAATGTACGGTGTAAAGTGTATAAAAATGTGTCATAATATCATTTCTCTTTATCAAATGGTCATGCTTAAAAGCTAAATTTTGTATAACAAGTCATTGAATTCACGTTGCTTTTTAACTTTATGGACAGTTAGGAATCAATTTTTACAACCCCTACTATGATTATTTGAAAATTCAATTTATTTTAGTAATTGTGGCACGAGTTCTGTTATTTTGACATAAAAATATCACATCACATTTCAACAATAAATTAACATAGTTTAAATATATATTTAATTATGCTTGATAAATAATTAATAAATATAGTATGGTCTTTCAACTTCTTTTTAATAATGATAAATGGTTGAATAAAATAAAAATAAAAAGGGCGGAGAGCATAAGTCATAATTTATTAAAAAGTTAGCAAAATTAATAATGGAATATATTCAATCTATTCTTTGGAAAAAGTTAAAAGCACATCGAGTATTATAACAAAAAAAATTACATTTACTAATTTATTTGTACATGTGAACTTTCTCTTAAAAAATGTAAAATATATTGACAATCCATTTCAATATTTTCATTCTTTTGTAAAAGATCGGGTTGGAAGCTAAATTAATAGCAGTTTGATTGTCGCAATGTAGAATTGTAGGAGAGTCAAATTTCACTTGCAAATCGCGAGCAATCTTCGCGGCCATACGATTTCAGTTGTGGCGTGCACCATTGCTTTATACTCCGCCTCACTGGAGGATCTCGATACGGTAGTCTGTTTCTTGGTTTCCATGATATTAGAGTTGCCTCCAACTTCATTAGGTATCCCGATATTGACCTCCTGGTTAGTAGACATGATGGATAATCTGAACCACAATATGCAACTAGCTTGAGATCATTGGCTTTGGGGATGATAATGTCCTTCCCTGGTGCAGACTTTAAGTATCTCAAGACAAACATTGTTGCGTTCCAATTCCCTCGGTGAGGTTCCTACATGAATTGGATGAGAATTTGCACCGAGTATGCCAACTCTGGCCTAGTGATCGTGAGATAAATGAGTCGGCCCACCAATCTGCGATATTGTGAAGGACCCTCATATAAAGGACTCGAATCTAATTCTAATTTATGATTTGGTGCAAGTGGCAAAGATGCAGGTTTGCAAGATAGCATCCCACATTTGTTTAGGATGCCCAAGGTATACTTTATTTGACACACGAATAATCTGGAGGAACCACGGACCAATTCTAGACCGAGGAAGTACTTCAGCCCTCCCAAGTGTTTCATGTGAAAACACTCGCTGAGATAATGTTTGAATTTTTCACATGATTTTGCATCACTCCCAGTCACAATAAGACCATCAACATAAATAAGCACAGCTATGAAAACATATTCACACGAGTATGTGAACAGGATATGGTCAGCTTCACATTTCTGGAAACCATACCTCACTAATGATTGTGACAACTTTGTGTACCAATTGCGCGAGGTCTACCTAAGACCATATAATGAATTTACCAAGCGACACACCATGCCATCATTGGGAGCATTGTAACCTGGTGGTACTTCCATATATACCTCTTCATCTAAATCTCCATGTAGAAATGCATTGCTTACATTCACTTGGTGAACTTCTTTCCCTTGTGCTTCCAGAGTCTGTTGATCCTTTTAGACAGCATGGATAATTCATCTTCTTCTTCATAAGAAGATCCTTCAGAGCTTTCTTCAATGACCTGCAAAGCTTTAGCAGATTTATTAGATTTTAAAGCAATAGATTTACCTTTCTCTTTCTTCTGAGGTTCATCTTCCTCAAGCTCAATTTCATGGCTCCTTAGTGAGCTGATGAGTTCTTCTAAAGAGATCTTGTTCAGATCTTTAGCCATCTTCAAGGCAGTCACCATTGGTCTCCATCTGGTAGGTAGACTTCTGATGATTTTCTTTACATGATCTAATGTGGAGTATCCCTTGTCCAGAACCTTTAGACCAGCTGTAAGGATCTGGAATCTAGAAAACATAGTTTCTATATTTTCAGATTCTTCCATTTTGAACGCTTCATACTTCTGTATAAGCGCCAGAGCCTTGGTCTCCTTCACTTGAGAATTTCCTTCATGAGTCATTTTAAGTGACTCAAACATTCCATGAGTTGTTTCTCTGTTAGTAATCTTTTCATACTCAGTATGAGAGATTGCATTAAGCAATATTGTCCTAGCCTTATGGTGATTTTTGAAATCCTTCTTCTAGGCTTCTGTCATTGATTTTCTATCAACTTTCTTGCCATCCTCATTTGTAGGATGTTCATAGCCATCAATAACCAAGTCCCACAAATCAGCATCATACCCAAGGAAGAAACTTTCTATCCTGTCCTTCCAGTAATCAAATTTCTCTCCATCAAACATGGGAGGCTTTGTGCTGATTCTATCCCCTTCATATTTGTTACAGTTGGATGTAGAAGTATCACCCATAATGACAAACAGATATTTATCAAAGTAACTTTTCTCACTGGATCTTTACTGACACGGTTAAGTGGTAGCACACGCAGAACCGGAGCTCTGATGCCAACTGAAGGTGAGAAAATTACTTAGAAGGGGGGGTTGAATAAGTATGACAAATAATCAAAAATTCAAACACAGTTATTTTTATCCTGGTTCGTTGAACTCAACTACTCCAGTCCACCCTCTCAAGAGTGATTTGCCTTTCTCAGTCAAGGACTTAATCCACTATTTAATCAAACAGATTACAATAGTAACACCTAAGAACAATTGTTCTTAGTCTTCTCAAGAGCTACTGATCCCAACTGGATCCTCTTAAGGAAACCTTTTACAATCAATGTAAAACTAATACAAGAGTAAGAATGCTTCTAAAAAGCTATTATCACAACTGTGATATTTCTCTTAAGTTTAAGAACAATGTTACAGCAAATAAGATAAAAGAGCTTTTGAGAGATTTTCTTTGAGTGAATTTTGCAAGTGGTTCATTTTTGAAGAAGATGGAGTGGACTTCTTTATATAGGCACTTAGATCCATGAAGTCTTCTCAATGTTGAAGGTTGTGCTGAAAAGCCTGGAGCCTTTTGTTTTTACATTGGAGGCTGTGCTGAAAAAGCCTGATGCCTTTTGTCTTTTACTTTGCAGAAACTTTCCTTAGAATGGAATGCACAGATAAAACCTTTTTGTCTGTATTCTTGTGTCTAGCATAAAAGAGGAAAGAGCTGTTGAGATATGCCAACGTACATATTCAAATCTTCTTCACTAAGTAAGTTCAGCTATCAACATCAGAGTCTGGATCTTCAGAATCTCCAGAGTAGAGATCTTCTGGATCTTCAGAGTCTTGGGATGTTCTTCAGATTATGCTGAATCAGAGTATGTGCAGCTTGTGTGCTTGAGCATGTAATTCTGTCAGAGCAGAGTCTTCTATATCAGATTCTCAATACTTATGCAGCGCAATATCTTCATAGTCTTCTGATGACTAAGCTTCTGAACTCTCAGAGTCTTTTATTCTTTAGAGGCTTCTGCTTCAGAATCTTCAGTAGATAGCACTCAGATTCTTCTGGAGGCAGTGTTTAGATCTTCATCTAAGATGCTCTTAAACCTTTGAAGCCTTTCATAATATCATTGTTCAGATTCAAATTTGCTATTTAAGAATATTTTCTTTAGTACCTGTAGCAAACAGTCTAGAACAAATTTAGAGTATATAATTCTTGAATACAAAATTCATAAGTGTTATCATCAAAACATAGAGATATAACTAAGAAACAATATGTGTTCTTACACAAACACTATCGCACAATGTGACATCAATTAATATACATGATGAGGCCAACCTATGGAAGCTTCAGCTTCAGTATAGGTCAGCATATCCATGTTTCAGGCTAAATCCTTGCTCCAAGTACGAAGCCTGTAGATTTTTCGCACAAGCTGCATTTCAGGTCTTCTCATAGGCCAGCCTGAACACCTTCATAGGTCTATCTATGACCTTCATAGGCCGACCTATACATGTTAAAACTTGAAATATTCTTTTTGCATCTTACTTTTCTTGCATCCTTTTGCCTATTTTCTTCATATACATATATATACTCATACATGCATCTTTTTCTAAGCCAAATTTCCTAGTGAATAAAACCTAAATGAAACCATATTACAA